AATTTTAGATTCTGAGCTTAGTGATAAATGTATTGATTTTACAATGACGTGTGTTTATTTAATTATTTTTTGTGTCTATATTACCACGGTTTGGGACAGTAAAAATGTTTCAATTTTATTCAACAGCAACTTTTCTGGTAGGAAAGTGAATCTAGTTGGTGTATTAGAGAGATTAAAATTTAAAAATCCCAACAGTTTTCAAAAGCGACTGGAAAAAATCAAAAAATTAAGGAAAAACGGGAACTTTTGCTCAAAACCAGGTTACGAAAAATCGATTTGGGTTTTTAGTGTAACTCTTAAAAAAATTTTGTGAATGTTTTGTTTGAAAGAACGTTTGTGTTGGCATTTCCTATACCTACAACCATATTATTTTCAAAATATTTCGATTTCTGTAGATCTACTCGTATTTATGGGAATATTAAATTTTCGACTATTATTTGTTTTTTTTTAAACTAATGTCGATCAATAATTTTTTGCTAGTTCAAAAAACTTCCTAATTTAATACAAAGTTCCTCGTAAGTTATTAATAGTGGAAATTAAAAAAAAAAGTTTAGGATTAACCTACCATAATTTTTTAGGAGAGTTTGAATTTAGAACTTTGATAAAATTCGTAAAAATCAAGGAAATTAACAAATTATTTTGAGTTAGAAATTCATAAACATTTTCTTTTTACATCTAAGATTTAAAAGTTTAACACGAGATTTCTTAAAAGTTTATCTACCTTGATCTAAAACAAATTTTCGCTGTGTCAAAAAACTTTAAAATGTAATACAAAGGTTAATCGTAAGTTATTGTCAGTGAAAATTAAAAAAAAGTTGAGAGTACCTAAATGGTAAATCTATAATAATTAATAAAAGTGTTAGAATTTAGAATTGCGACAAAATTAGCAAAAATCACAAAAATGTGCAAAATATTTTGAATAAGAAATCTATAAAAATGTTCCATCTTATACCTAAGTTTTTAAAATTGAATACAAGATTCGTTATAAGTTTGCCTACCTTTATCGAAAAAAAAAAATATATTTTTACAGGAAAGTCAAATTAAATTTTTATGATAGTTTGAATTTTAAATTTTTACGGCATTGAATATTCACTCGATTTTTCATGCAGTGATTTTCTTATTTTGTCGTAATTTCGCCAATTCATAAACTCGATAAGATTTTCAAAATATTTTGACTCGTTTTGAGCTGTTGGCGGACTTGTTGTATGATCTTTATATTATAGAGTGATCTGATATTAATCTCTTCCTAATAACTGGTGTTTATCGGTTGAACGTAACGTTAAGGTATCACAATGCTCGTCCATGATTTTATGATCTACGGTGCAATGTAAGTTAGTAGAGCATTTGTGTCGTTCAGTGGAACTCTCGAACGTACTTGACTGGGGTGAGGAGACGTGGGCATTATTAATGTTTTGCATAGGTATGTCGTGTGAGTATAAGTAATGTATGTATAAATCTAATGCGTATATATATATATGTATATTGCGATATCCCCCACATGGCACTGACCAATATGATCAGTTAAATCTGTTTTTATTTAAGAATAATCATTAAATATTCAATATTACTGTAAATAATTATTTAGTAAAAATATTTATTGATTCAATTTTTTAAATAATAACATTATTCTTACTCTAAATAACTTACAATAGGAATTATGACACAAAAGATATTATAATATTATATTTATTATTCATTAAAATCGCCAAAGAACAAGAATAAATATTTATGTAAATGAAGGCTTTTCCTTATCATGTTTACATATTCATGCCAACAGTCTTTACGTAAGAATATCGTGTTTCACAGTTTCACATATTTTTTCCACTTTAAATAAAATTGTATTTATACTATTCTAGTAATATATTGAAGTATACACTTTATTTACAATAATATTCGGCTCAGCCGTAAAAGAGTTAAAAAATGACTGAGTAGTTATATACTATAAGTTCTTGAGAAATATGAAGTACAGTATAGTATAGGTTACATTTTATTGTGGAGGTGTATGAGAAAGACCTGACAAATCAAATAACTTTTGTTCTAATATTTAAAAAAATTTTTTTTAAATTCAATCTGAACAATGTTCGTATCAAATACAGATGTAATTCATCGAAATCAAATGGTCTTAGTACTAATTAAATAAACGAAAGCAATAATGACCATTAATCATATTATCTTAAGTTATTATATTTTATATTATGATTTAAGTTTTTATTTTAAATATATTATTATTGTATGAACATGAAAAAAACAATAAGGTATATTTTAAACATAACATTGGAGACCCAAAGATGCTGGCCATTAGATATTTAAAAAATAAATGTAATATGTCACATGAACATGGCTCAGATTGAAATTTATCTAAACCCAAAATGTGCAGAATATTTTGTAGTTAAAAAGTCATAATCATAACATTTTTAATATTTATAAAATTATACCTATAAGGTTTAAAAATTTAACATAAGTTTGTATCGATGGAATTTAAAAAAAAATGTATTGTAAGACCACATACATTTTTTATAAGTGGTTGAATTTGAAATGACGAAGTCATGTCATCCACTCATCCCTCAAAGTAGATTTTGGATCTTTCCTCGTTAGTAGGTAATACTGTAATTGTAGGACCACTAGTAATTCCACATACTTCATTATATTTTCGGCTACAACATTTTAAATTGAATGTTATAAACTGCTATGAGTATTGGGTTTTGATGATAACTTTTTTTTATGCTTATTGAACTTGTCTCCGGGTCTGCCATATTTTAAAGGAGGCAGCTCTAAACACACAGTACCTATATTATTTTATAAATCACAAACTTAGATACCTAATTATTCACCATATCTATATGTGTACTGTTCTACGCCTATAGACTGTAGTACCTGTCTGTTTCCTTTATTAGGTAACTAATAGTGTCGCCCACTTACTTTGATTTAATAACAAAAATTTGATGTTTAAATATATAATTAAATATAAAATTCTTGCTGGTTCCAAATTGGTTCCCGAGCCCCAACCCCACATGCCGAATTGGTTCCCGTTCAATAAAGGTATTTTTTTAAGTTAAGATGAATTGGTTCCCGTTTGATTACGCACATTTTCCTTCTCAATTTTACTGGCTTAGGGTTGTCGACTTTAAACTAGGCTTGATTAAAAATGTGCAGTTATGTGTGTTAAAAATATAAAAAATAATGTAAACAATTTTTAAATTGTCGATTTGCAAATTTGAAGCAAATCATTTTTAAATATTCAATTCGTGTAACTTTCTCATTAATGAAGTTATTCAGTCATACAGTTTTCCAAGTATTGGTAATTTATTTCTTCGTTGCGGGCGAGTTTTCTTGTATTATTATTTTGAAAATGAATATAACGCTGATTTAATAATTTATTGTTATTTAATTGTTATTTGTTTGTACCTTAGAGTGTAGGTACATTATTTTATATATTATACTATCTAATTTATATTTTGTGCTAATTATACGCACATATGATTTACTGTTGCAAATGAATGCATTAAAATGATAATTGTAACTATATGACCCGAACACAAACGGGAACCAATTCAGATCAACTTAATATTCTTAAGAAAATACCTTTTTAAACGGTAATCAGTTCGGCTCAACTTAATAAAACACCTTTTTTCAAACTGAAACCAATACGGCCAAATGACAATCGATTAAGTTACTCCCAACATTATACTAATTACTAATATCATCAATACAATTTGCTGTCTGCTATATAGTAAATAATACACAATTACTTTTTAGGTTAAATAGTTCCCCCAACAATATATCCTTCAATTCCGAATAATTGATAACACTTATTGCTGGTAACATAAAAAAGGTATTCTACAATCACCTTAGGTATTTCACTATGTAACTTTAAGATTTTCAAATAAAATACATATTATGTACAATGAAATGTGTTTTAATATCGTAATTAGCTTATATTATTCTTTCTTAAAGTAATATGCAACTAAAAAAAAAAAATCAGTTTTTGTTGTGTGAATATATAGTGCTTTAAAAAAGAATAAGTTTGGTGGTTTAGAAAATAAAACTTTTTCTCATATTTATGTTTTTTAGTATTATTGCAATGGTCAAGTATTGCTAATATAAATCGTATGAACACAATTATTGAACTGTAAATAGATACTTTTTGCCATGTCCTCGAGCCTCTCGTTGTGGTAGGATTCTGATTAATCTGATTTACCCGTGTGTACAAAATGTATAGCTTGTCTCAAATCTTTAATGAAGTCCTTTGCTAGAACCTTTGTTAGAATTTTTTTTTAAAGCATCACAGACACTACTTTCTGTATGTACCCAAATATTATTTTTACTTGTTCCTCAGTTAGTTTTTCATGTACGCATCGTTTTGCTATACCGTTTTCGTTAGACCGTTCATGAATATTGCTAATTCATATTATAATTTATACCTAAATAGTATATTTTATTGGTCATTTTGTGTGCAAATGCATACGGGCAACTGTTACAGTAGGTATCTAATGGAGTGTGCAGCGTGCACTGACTTACTGGACTACTCCACTAGTCTCTTACTAGTCAAAACTGTAAAAAGTTTTTATTCTATTTTTCATTTTATAATATAATTTAATATATTATACCTTATTTTTAATTTTAGTTGCATAAAAGTCCTGTAAAAAAAAAAAAACATATTTAGAAATGCTAAATGCTGCAAAACACAATTGTATTAACGAACATTTCAACATTTGTTATTCAAGTATAAAATGTAACAGAATATATAATGCAATCGTTAAATACATTATACCAAGGTAAGAACGATTTCATTACAGTTTGAATATTGCAATATAATAATTGCAATACATTTTAATGCAATTATATGATTGGAATTGAAATCAAGAACTGGTATTTTAAATGTATTCGTGAATCAATATCCACAATGTATGTGTTATGCATAACTATCCCTACTACAAAGTTCCCATTGATGTATTGTGATATACATTCAATTAAGGCATCTATAGGTAGATATAAGAAGTGTCTGTCGTCGTATAAAACCTCTAGTTATTTTCGTCCAATTCAGTTATTGAGTACGATTTACCTGGGTGCAAAGAAATGAAATGAATATTAGGTACAGCGAGTGAATACAAGTACTGTTAAACAATTTATTAGGTATAACGAGAATACAAATAAAATTGTTACTTTTCATAATATTAATATAATCATTGCGAACCGATATTTTTCGTTTTTAATTTAGATCAAAAGTTTGTGATTAAGGCAAGATAAATAATACATTGACTCAAAATGTATAATATTGTGCTATTTGTTTTTATAATAGAATCGTCTTTTAATACAGTCAATCGGCGGATTTAAATTCAAAATTGACAATGATTGAAATAATTGCTTACATGATTGTTGTTGTTTTTGTGATGATATGGAGTTACTTCAAATGGCACAATAGGCGCTTTGAAAAACTGGCTGCTAGAATGTCGGGGCCTCCTTCGTACCCGATCATAGGAACAGGATATCTATTTACTGGATCATCAGAACGTAACGAAAATAATAAATTTCTGAAAACAAATGAAATGTTTTATATATGTTTATTTTTTTATGTCATTCAGAGGTGATGAGCAAAATCATTGATACCGTGAAAAAATATAGTCTAAAGCCAATTAGATTATGGTTAGGACCATATTTTGCAGTTGTCATCGCCAAACCGGAAGACGTACAAGTAATTATTATTTTAAAACAATATATATAATTTATTGGCCCAATGGTATGTGAATTAAACAGTTAGAATATTTAAACCTTCAATTGTCACAAAGATATTCATATTATATCATCGTATAACAACATACACATTAAAATGTTTGACAATTTATTTTTTCACTGTTATATAATTAAAATATTTTTAATTTAAAAATACTACTTTTTAGTAAGACGATGGGTATGAATCTAAAGAATACAAAATTAGTTTGTTTACTTTTTGAAAACATCTCCGTTTCTAAATAGTAAATATTAATAACTTACAAAAAGCTTTTAGTTACAAAACTCATAAAAAGTTTTATTATTATTACCTTCATTTTACAGATTATTTTTAATAGTTCAAAGGCACTTAAAAAAGACCGAATGTACGATTTTTTCAAGAATGGTGTGGGCGAAGGTTTGTTTACTGCACCAGGTAAGTTGAGTACAAAAGTTTAACTTATTTGCATTTTCAACAAATATAAATAAAGTTCATTATTTTAAGTGGATACAAGGAGATTTGTTTATAATTTAATTATAATTCAAAATAATTTAAAACAATTACAGTTGAGAAATGGCGGAAAAATCGTCGCATGATCACTCCTGCTTTTAATGCCAAACTTTTGGAACAGTTTTTCCCTGTGTTTAACGAAAAAAACAAAATTCTTATCAGGAATGTTACAAAAGAATTAAATAAAACACAAACATTCGATCTCTGGAACTATATTGCACCAGCTGCTCTCGATACAATTTGTGGTAAGTATAATACGAGTCTTGTAAACTACTTGAGTAAAAGTATTTAAATATTTTTTAAGTAGACTAATAGGTATTTAAAATACTCATTATTTTTATTTAATATAATTTCAATCTTAATTATATTTTATTTATTTTTTTACTGTGAATTACAATCAACCCGAAATTCTAATGATTTGGCAAAAAAAAAAATAAAGAAAGACTTCAGAGCTAATCTATAAAATTATATGGTGTAAAATTCGTAACAAAATTAACTTTCGACATCGAAATCGGGTTGGTTTGTAAGGTAAATAAATTGAAAGTATTTGAAATTATGCATAACTTAAAATACGTATTTTTGTTTTTAAACACTTTTGAAAATAAGTACCAGCTGTATCTATACTTGAATACTTTAAAATAGTATATTTTAGAAAACTACAAAATATCTAAAATGATTTGTGATAATTATTTTTTATAGTTACAAAAACACTTTTTATTTCTAGAAACCACTATGGGTTACAATCTTGACACTCAATCAAACAATAAACAATGTGAATTTGGAGAAGCAATTGTAATGTAATACTACTTTAAGTCCTTGGGACTTTAATTATATTTGATAATAAATTGTTTTACTATAAAACATTTTAACCATTCAATACGATTTCTTACGCAATTCAATAAAAAAATGAATTCATATTGAATATTTAATTTTCATCTTTCTGTTTACCCCTTAAATAATTAACTACTAATTAAGTACTAACCACGTCAGTTTCTTTGATTAGAGGATCAGAGTTGGACGCGTTGCGAATTTACAAACCATGGTTATACCCAGAATTTGCGTTTTCAATGTATTTAAGACTCAAAGGACATCAAAAGGTCTTCGAAACAGTGAAAAAGTTTCCATTGCAAGTATGTGTTTATATTTAAAGATTTCGTGAACGCACTTACAATCACTTTTGCCTTTAATCATTGTGCATCGTTATGCTTGTTATGCTCCTACATTAGGAAATTAGCTATTTTAAAAAATTTATAAGGTATAGTAAATTGTATTATGTATAATATATGCTAATTAGGGAAACATCAGTATTTTATTTTTTTAAATTCATTATTTTTGAGCATTTGTGATTTCGTAATAACGAAGTTGCATGGAAAATTGTCTCCTATTTTTAGTGTGAAAATTTGGTTGTTTAGTTTAAACTACAACCTGAGTGTTTCTATCTCGTGACTCGGGAGAAACAGTTTTTTCTATGTTAAACATTTGTAAGACAGAGACAACACGTCATGCGGGTGTGGTGTTTTCTCAATACAGTGGTACTAATGAGTATGTGGTATAATAAGTATTAAGTATTTATCTTAATATCAACAATCATAAATATCCTAAGACAAACAATCGTAAATTCGTAACTATGTACAGTATTCACAGACATTAGAGATGTATTATGTCTTATGTTTTTCCACCCGCATCCCCACCACAAGTTGACCACTTGTAACAACAACTTTTATGTTATCGTTATCTATTGTGGCGCACAATGCTATCATTTTAAATTAATCACAAATTCAAAACATTTAATATTTACAGTTCACCTATATTTTTTGTGAGCTCTAGAGGAACTTTACTATATCCATCGATCATCATCAATATTATTTATACATCTTATCTATTGCTCTGTGGTTCTGCTGGTGGAACCATCTTAAAATATTATTGACAAAAAAAAATAACCAATATATATAATTTATTGTTCATTAACAGAACATGAAAATCTGATGCCACCCCTAAAAAATGACACCCGGGGTGATCACCTTCTCTACCCCCCCCCCTCTAATACATCACTGCAATAAATAAAATGTATCTTAATATGAACAATCGTAACTATTTATTTACTGGTAATTAATAGATGGGTGGACACAACGGGGATATAGATGATTTAATGTTGAAGTTGTACCACAGTTATTAGATTTTGCAAGCCAATTTTTACAATTATTTCATCATATTCTATTTATTTACTATTACTTACTCTTATTATTTATTTAATTTATAAAACGTTGGAACTGTTCATATTATTAATCAGTCATAAATCATAATATATTATATTATACATATTTTTAGTAAATAAAACGCTTTTTAGTCAGTTATTTTTAATTTACACATGGAATACACATTCATTCGAAACATACTCGTACCAATTTAAAACACAAATAACTTTAGCGGATGATTTATTAAACAATACAATAGCCTAAGACTAGGCGCCTTGGATTGTTTCAGCAATCATTTATCAACTTGTGCAGGTTACCTAAACTTTACCGTAACAAACATATATGTATATATTCTTATTACTAGAACATAATTGTATTTTCAATTTTTAGATAATCAAGAAAAAGAAAGAAGAATTTGACCAGATATCAAAAGATAGTAATGATAAAGTAGGCGTAGCAAAAAATGAAGACGGTGAGTTATTTGGGGCATTAAATTTAAACATCATTGTTTACTATATATTTTCCATTGCGCAACAGTGCCTAAACAACCAATAATAAAAATTGCATTAAATTAAAACTAACAAGTTTTAAATACAATTTTGTTTAGAAAAACATTCAAAACTGTTTTTGGACATATTGTTTGAACTGAACAATAATGGTGGACACTTTTCAGATTCCGATATTAGAGATGAGGTTGTAACGATGATGACTGGGGTAAATATTTGTTAGCATCCTAATTTCCTTGTTATGAAAAATATTTTCAATAAAATATATAAACTTGATTACAGGGTAGTGAAACCAGCGCTATCACAGTCTCGTTTTGTCTTTTGATGTTAGCCATACATCAAGATATCCAAGTAAATATCTAACACATAGTGTATAACAAAAATAAAAAAACTATTCTTAAAGGATATTTGATACTTTTCACTTTTCAGTGTACATTAATGTAAAACATGCATGAAAAATAAACAATATGTATAATATAATTTTATTTATTTGGCTTTTATTTAAATGGATATTTTATCAAAACCATGTTATAACTTATAGGCATATACCTAACTATTTGATTCATATTTTAGAATAAAGTATATGATGAAATTTATGATATATTTGGTGAAGGTGACCAAATAGTAACTGTTGAAGACACTAGAAGACTAGTGTATTTAGAACAAGTGATAAAAGAAACTCTTCGATTATACCCTGCAGGACCATTGATTCTCAGAGAAACTCAAGAAGATCTTAAAATATGTGAGTGAAATTAAATATTTACTAAAAACAGGCAACAAATATATAATATAATAACAAATTAACTGTAATTTAGCTTCAAACGATTACGTATTGCCTAAAGGAACAACATGTGTAGTAAGCATAATAGCCACACATCATAGTCCAGATTTGTACCCGAATCCTTGGACTTTTGATCCTGATAGATTTAGTCCAGAAAATGTAGCTAAACGTCATAGATATAGCTTTATACCTTTTAGTGGCGGCCCCAGAGGTTGCATAGGTAAATTTATATTTTGTCAAATAATAATATGAGTATAAAATTCCAATATGTATATTGTATACTGTATTATTATTGTATTTAAATTTAAACCACAGGATCCAAATATGCCATGTTGTCGATGAAAGTTACCGTGTCAACATTTTTACGCCATTTTAGCGTACATACAGACATCAAAATAACAGACATTAAGTTAAAAATAGATTTGTTAATGAGAAGTGTTCATGGTTATCCTGTTACAATTCGACCAAGAGACATAAGATCGACATAAAAACGAAATTATAATCCACTTGGATGATGAGCAATTGATTAATATGAATAACTTATTTTAAAAATGTTTGTGTAAGTATCAGTAATAAGGATATGGTTGTAGTTATTCAAAACTGTAAGGTATTTTGGAGAATACGCTGCAAACTAATGTTTATTTGTCAACTTAAATTTGAATTATACATATTTATGTGCTGATTTATATTGTATATTGTCAATTAAAAAAATGATTAATTTAAATAAAAAAAAAAAAAAATGTAATTTCATTTCATTTCATTTCTATTGTTTTATAATTGTTTACTTTTGGTTGGTACTTATGCATATTATGTTGACATTTAAGCAGTACTTTTGTTTACGTGCGTGAAGTTGGCTCCCCTCCTCCCTCACTTTAACCCAGGACCTTAGAATTTACATGGTCCATCTTTATTCACCTACGCATTCGAACCTGGTATCAAACATTTATATTTAACTAGGATTTTAAATTAAGAATATTCAGTAGGTATTCATTTTAGATTTTTTTTATTAATTATGGATTTATAGTATTACATTTTTTACTAATTTAAGTTAATTTATTAGTATACATCTTTTTTCATTTATTTAGGCATTTAATCCAATCAAGAAAGTTTTTTATTCAATTTAGATTTTTATATAAAATACACCAGTATTTGTTGTTTCCGTCAATTTGCCTATTATGATTAATAACTGATTTTCTTAATTTTTTATTGGAAATTAGTTTTTTTTTGTATTTTGGTTGTCAATCAGGCAGAACAGGTTTAAGCCTGCATCAAATCGAATATTTACATATGGCCTACCAAGGAGGCCGAGTTGCATTTTTAGCCGCTCATTGGAGTGTACATAATCAAAATAAAACATATTATTCATATAATCATATATATAGTAATATAGTATTCACCTAGCGGGGCCTGATAATACAATGATACATATAGTAACACATTTTTAATAAAGATATAAAAACAATAAAGTTTTTATTATAACATTAAAATAATTATTAACATTATCTGATTATCATAATATTGTTAGAATTAATGAAGTATGAAACAAAATCCACAATAAAAATAGTTTAAATTCCAATTATGATGTAGTTGACAAACACAAAAATATCACATACAATATTAATATAGTACACATTTAAGTTTATTTGTATTTATAATCCTACTTCTTATATTATTATTATAGTATTTAATATTGTTATTACTTAGGTATTAGTGCAATAAATAATAATCACACACACAAATTTACATATATTTTTTAAATATTTCACATTTTTATTTATACCTTTATGTCCAGAAATCAATTATAAAAATTAAAAATATAAATGTCTTAAAGAAAGTGAAGATTTTCGCATAAAAATGATAATTATTAATGAAATAAATAAAATTTCCTAAATAATAACAATAATAATAATAATAATAATAATAAAATAATAACCTAAAATCAATAAGCTATACAGATAAATTAAACATTTTTTTTTTCGAAATTGAATAATGGCTGTCAAAATCGACTTGAAAAAATTCCGTTAATCCAAATCATGTGCTAAAAATAACTGTAAACATAAAAAAAAATCCATTTTTTACTGGGCGTTAATGTTAAAATGTTGAACATTTCACAAAATATGTATTTCAGTACTTCCTATAAGGTTCCCCCTAAAATTAATTTCAATGAAAATTCATCCGGCCGAAATATTTAGAGATGCCATAAATCGTGATCTTCATTTTACGATATTATTAAACTGATCTGTTCTGTCGAATCTTGATTTATATATCCAAACATGTAATGAAATCACGACGAGCTTTAGACCTTCACACCTGCAGATGCAAACATAAATAATAATTTATACATTGCACTTAGTACAACTTATGACAATTTCAGCACTACACAAACTCATTTAAATCCGGTTCGAATGGGACACGTTGAAAAATGAAGGAAAGGGAACATTTCTCTCTTGATAGTATTTATAATAATACTAATAACATCATGTGTGGACTGTATAAACATTTATTTCATGTTGTCAAGGATAAAATAACAATTTGATATAGGTCGTTAGGCTGACGAGATGGGTTTATAGTAAGGATATCGAACAATATTTATACAAAAATAGTGTAATATACACATCTGACAGTAAACTATAAAGTTATTCTTTAAAGCTTTTAAGTAAACATAAATGTTTAACACGCATTTCAAGTAAGTAAACAAATAGAAATAAATATTATGAATCTAAGCTAAAAGTATGATTAAAAAAATATATATATATATTTATAGAAAAGTTGAATGTATCTATCACCTAAAGACTCTAACTAAAACTTTTTTGTGTATGGGTTGTTTTTTATATCATATCTTACTCATAAAAACTAATATGATTCATAGTTAATAAATAATATAATTTTTCTATGATATTAAATAATTTAATTTATATTTCAATCGATTAATTTAAAAAAAAATATATCTTTTTATTAAATTGTGTTAAAATTATCTCAGTAGTGAAAAAAACTTCTGGAGCACTGAGCCTTGAAATGAGTAAGTTGATAAATTACTGAGTAGTGAGTAACCTCTACTTAGCAGCTTATTCTTGTCCACATCATGTCTTGTATTCAAAAATGAATATGGTTTATTTCTTTATTAATTATACTTATTTCTAGCATAAAAATTAAAAAAAATAACTAATTTGATTAATCAATTAGGCATTATGCTAGTGACATCTGATTTTCCTCATAATATTTTGGTCTTTTGTCTCTAGGTCGAATCGTAACAGGATAACCATTAGCACTTCTCATCAATAAACCTAATTTTAATTTAATATCTGTATATTTGATATCGGTATGTACGCTAAAGTTTCGCAAGAATGTTGACACAGCTACTTTCATCGACAACATGGCATATTTGGATCCTGTGGTATAAATTAAAATACAATAGTAACACAGTATACATATTGGACCTTTATATCAATACTATTTTTCGCAAATATTAGAACATTACCTATGCAACCCCTTGGCCCGCCGCTAAAAGGTATAAAGCTATATCTATGACGTTTAGCTACATTTTCTGGGCTGAATCTTTCAGGGTCAAAAGTCCAAGGATCCGGGTACAAATCAGGACTATGATGTGTTCCTAATGGGGTTAAGACACACATTGTTCCTTTAGGCAATACGTAATTACTTGAAACTAAAACACAGTTAATTTCATTTTATTGTATGCACTGGTTGTATATGTTAAAATTCACTCACATATTTGAAGATCTTCTTGAGTTTCTCTGAGTAACACTGGCCCAACAGGGTATAACCGAAGGGTTTCTCTTATCACTTGTTCTAAGTACACAAGCCGAGTAGTGTCTTCAATAGTTATTGTTTGGTCACCTTCACCAAATACATCGTAAATTTCGTCATATACTTTATCCTAAAATATAAATAAATCAATCAACAATATATTTATAGGTAGGTACATACTGCAAACATTGTTTTTATTTTCATTTGAGTAAAATCCGAATAGATAAAACTGTCTGTATCAAAAAATATTAAATTTTTTAACGACTTGAAGGATATTTGTGTACCTAAGTTATATTTTAGGTATTAGATTAGCTATATTATATTATAATATTTACTAATTTACTTGGATATCTTGTTCCATTGCTAATATCAAAAGACAAAAACAGATTGTGATAGCGCTGGTTTCACTGCCCTGTAATTAAATTTATATATTTTACTCATGACATTTTTCATACGAAAATTATAAAATTTACAAAAGGTAACAAGTAAATTTACCCCCGTCAACATGGTTATAACTTCATCTCTAATATCAGAATCTGAAAAATGTTCACCACCGCTGTTCAGTTCAAACAATGTGTCCAAAAAAAGTTTTGATTGGTTTTCTAAACATTAATACAATATGTTATTTAGAGTTTGTTAGTTTTATTTGTTTGTTTATTTTTTTGTTATACCGTTACGCTGATTATAAGTATAATAATTCATTACTTGTATTAAAAACCTGGTTATATATGTTATATACACAATAATGATTTAAATCCACTTTACAAAATAACTCACCGTTGTTATTGTTGGTTAAGTTTATTTTAGCATTAATTTCATTTTTTCTCTTGTCAAATTCACCTTTCTTCTCCTTGATTACCTAAAAATAACAATTACACATGTGTATTAACGTATTATAATTTATAATTAATAACAAGTCAAATGACTTGATTTAGTTATCCTGAAACAACTCATTGCATATATTACGTCACTGCCGGATTAGAATGTACTCGCTAGAGCATTGTTATTCTGTTTTGTTGTCACATAAGCATACTAATTATTTGTGTTAAAAATTGTGCATTGTCAATTAGTCTGCGTAAATTAAACGGCTAATGTAAAATCTCTCGATTTTAGAGACCTGTTTATAAACCGATTAGCATTTACAATGAACAATATAACTACATCTAGATTCCAGAATCTGGGGAATTTTTTTGCCATAACCAAACTCATAATTGGCCCGTAACATAATATTCATATTTATATTTATTATGATTCACCGAACATCCGTACTCAATTTTTTCTTTAATAGCGCAGTTATTTAAAATCTAATTCTTTTAATTTTTAAATACACATTAAAAACATATTTTCAAATTCTTAAGAATCGTGTACTACTTAAGGAGTGTCTTGTTGAAATACAAACTTCTGTTTTGCAAATGAGAACATTCCTATTCAACTATAAATTATACAGGATATAATTCTTCTGATATTGTTGAAGTGTGAATATCAAAATGTATACAAGTAGTTTTTGAGTTATTTATTACTTTAAGTTTTAAGGATGAAAAGTCTAGTTAAGGCGATGGGGAATTGAACGTTTTAGTTATTAATATAAATTCAAAATTGATCGATATTAATAATATTTGTAAGAATAACCCAAGTATAATAAATACTAGATTTAATTTTTGGGCTATTAAAACCAGTGTTAAGGACTAAGATCCTCAATACAAACTATCCACTTATTAATTGACGGTAAAAGAGAGTTCTCAAATTTTAAAAACAAAAGTTTGTATCACCACAGAATACTCTTTAAGTAGTATAAAAAAAACAAGAATTTAAAATTAGGTCTTTGAATATATAAAAAATTCCAAAAATCCGAATATGAATAAACTCATTGTTAAGAAGACTTCACCCCAATCATGCTTGGAGAATCACTCTATATGGCTATATATGTATTAGGATCTGTAACATTTATTCCATTCATCAAAACAGTCCTTTAAAGGACTACATAACCAACCAATCAGAACACGACATATATGAAATAACAATAGTCAGAGACTTTTGACTGAATCCATGTTCTCTGGACTACACTAACAACCCGAGACCCTCTCCATGCCCGGAACCCAGAAACCTAACAAACAGCATTTAAATCCATACCAATGGGTGACAAAAACAACATGGTGACACACCCAAAAGCTTAATAGTCGGTACAGCACGCGAATTATGTACCGGTCGTTTCCCAACCACAGACACCTTCTTCAATAGTTCAATCAATACAGTTTCTTCAACTAAACCTTCAACACAACATAAGTACAAAGACAAGAAGAACCACCAAGGCAAACCAACGCGGAAGAGCCACAGTATAAATCGCCAACCGGATAGCGGTGACTACAAGGCCGATAGGAACGAACATCGGCAATACACGAAGACTCTTCGCACAAACCCGTGAGCAATCCGTATGGGCATCGTCACACTGCCGCGTTAGCTTATTCACCCCAAAATTGAACATAATATTTAAATAATATATTTACATAGAAATAAACAGACAAAGTGATACCATATAACAAGAGTTGTTGTTATTATCACAGTTCTACGAAACAAGCCGAAGGGCCACGGTTTCAAATCATACCATAGTTATTCGTTGTTACGTTAATCCGAAAGTACATAATGACCATAGTGATTGTTAGAGAAAAACACTACTTTTTTAAATTCTACGAGTCTAAACGACATACTTGTAATGGAAATTTTTGGACAGTTTCGAAGAGTCTTTGCTGTCCAGTGAGTCTTACATACATTGAAAACATGATTTTTGGATATAACCATGGTTTGTAAATTCGCATTCCGTCTAAGTCTGATGCTCTAAAAATTCATATACATGGTTTATAGTAACTTTAAGGCACTAAAAGATAGATGTAAATACAATTTTTAGTATGAGGATTTAAAAAAAAATATTTTTTTTTTATTGAATTGCATACGAAATCATAATGAATAGTTATAACTTATAATGCCTTATAGTAAACATAATATATTATTCAAGTCCTCATAACTTTTTTGTTCGTATTACCTTAACATTGCTTCTGCAAATTCACATTCATTTTGGTTTGATTGAGTGTCAAGATTGTAACCCATGGTGTTTTCTAGAAATAATGACATATCCGTTAGATGATTATCTAAAATATTAAAGATAAAGATTAATATATTGTATTCTTACGACAAATAGTATCAAGTGCAGCTGGTGCAATATAGTCCCAGAGATCGAACGCTTGGGTTTCATTTAAATGTTTCTTGACATTCCTTATAAGGATTTGATTTTTCTCGATAAATACTGGGAAAAACTGTTCTAAAAGTTTACCATTAAACAAGGGAGATATCATGCGTCGATGTTTCCGCCATTTATCAACTATAATTGTTTTAAATTATTTTGAATTATAATCAAAAATATAGTAGATAAAACGTAAATTTGTATTCACAAAAATTATTTTATTTTTACCTTTTACAAATATAAATAGTTTAAACTTTTGTACATAACTTACCTGGTGCAGAAAATAAGCCTTCACCAACAACATTTTTGAAAAAATCATATAATATGCCTTTCTGGAGTGACTTTGAACTATTTAAGACTATCTAAAAAATGTATGGCAAATGTTTTATTGAGCCATATAATATATATTATTTTTTTATAGTTATTAATAAATATTATTTCAAACTAAAAATGCAAATAAAAACTGAACTAATTACTTTTAAATTTTTTTGATACTTCCACCGTAAAGGTACTTAAGAGAAGTATTTTTAAAATTTAAAATTTGATTTTTATACATTTCAATGATTATAATTATTATAACAGTTGAATAATAAAAAGTTTCACTTATTCATTATATAGTTTCAATATAAGACATAATTATCCAATTGATAAGAATTTTACATAATTACATTTAAATTTAAATAATATCTAGCTGTCAAAAATATTTCGGTTTTCAAAACCAAATATCAGTATGTATATCTTAATTGTTTTAAAAATGTGATTACTTGTAGGTCTTCCGGTTTAATAATGACAACTCCAAAATATGGTCCAACCCATACTCTAAATGGCTCGAGATTATAATGTTTTTCGTATTCAATTATTTTGCTTATGATCTCTGAAGAGCATTAAAAAAAATCTACACCAGGGGAACATTTAATTTTTTTCAAGAATATATTATTATTTTACTTACGTTCTGACGTAGCTCCAATAAATTGATAGCCTATTCCAATGATCGGGTAAGCTGTAGGTCCGGGCATCATAGCTGATAACTTTTCAAATTGCCTATTGTGCCATTTGAAGTAACACCACATAACCACAAAAATAACAACAATTATATAAAGAATTATTTCAATCATTGTCAGTTTTAAATTGAAATCCAACTCGACTGAGTGTTTTGAAGAACGCTCTTCATAAAAAAAAAAAACATATAACCAAATATGATGCTATATTTGTCAATATTAGTGTCAATATATTTTCAAATTAAAAACGATGGACTAAATATCTATTTTCAGTATTATTTGGTTAAACTATTAATTGCAGATGTATTTTTATCTGTTAACTAATAAATGATTTATTGATAGCTACTACTCTTTTACTTATAGCATGTATCTACACGACAACCGAATAAAGCAAAAATAATTAATGGTTTGTATTCGATGACACTTTATATTGATTTGCATAATGTCAGATTATATAATAGTGACATACAAATGATTATAATTTCATTCATGAGAATTGTAAATTAGTTTATAAATATTTGAGTCCCCGATAAAAAGCTTACAACCATGTACTGTGTAAAGTGCTGCAGATTATTTTTAAAGTACGTAAATTGGGTCCCTCACCATTTTTAATAAGACATCTAATATTAGTTCGAAGAGTCAGGGAACAAAAAGTTGAAAAAATAATGGACAATAATACAGCATATTAAACTAAACATAAGAAAAAATGAAAGAATTGAGAGAAAAAATAAAAAAAGTTGGCTTGACTTTGTGATTGAATTATCATATATTAATATCCTACCTACATAATTTTTCCGTTAAATATAAGTAACATTTTAATAATTTATTTTTGATCATAAACATCATAAACCATAAAAAAAAAGTAAGATTATTAATTTATTAAAGATTATATTATATTTTGTGTCAAAATAGGTAGTGAGTAACTCATATAGTAAAACTGTATTATATTATAGTAAATAAATAGTAAATTTAAATGTGTAAATACTATTAATTTATTTTATTTTTATTTCATAAAATATGCTATTATTATACTATTATTGTTAGAATTCAATTGTAGATATTAAGTTTGAAGGTGTCGTAATGACTCAATACATACATCAACTCAGAAAATAAATATGTAATGTATGTAAGTAAATATTCTCTCTAAGCGCATAGGACACCGCATGACTGTAATAAATTACAGTGCAATTTATTGTGCAATTATTCAACATGACTCGTGTTAGTTATACTAGGTGTAACAGAAAGACGTGAAAAATTAAATAACTCTTGTTCAAATCAATACGTTATAATTGTTTTATGAATAATTTATAAACACTTGTGCTACGCAATAGTAGGTACGGTAATAACATTTATATTTTAAATTTTTTTAAATTTAAAACTTAAAATAAAAAAATTCAATAAATAGCAGATTTGTTAATCTAATATTGGTACAAATGTTAATGGTAAACATGTTAATTCAAGTTACAGAATTTATTTTTTTAAATATCAATTTTCTTTGAGAATAAATGAATTTGAAGTTTAAACCGTAATAACTTTTTTCAATATATTTATCTTCTAGGCAATTCCAGGCGTAAGGTTTTTATCATACATATAAATATAAATATAAATATATTTTTTTTTTATTTATCAGAATGTTATGTTACATCCTGCATGCATAATAATATACATTAAATATGTCAGTTTTTTCGGTATACCTACATCTGTGATATTGTCGTGCCATTTCATTGTAAATATTGGTACTCGTTGAGTAATGTTTTTTCAAATTTGTATCTGAATTCAAATATATAATGTATCTATAGTACTTACCTAGAGCTCTGTAGTATTAATATTTTATTTATGAGATTTTAATTTATAGGAATAAATCTACCTTATTAGCATTTATTTTATTAACACATATTAAAATACATACAATTTTTAGTATTTGTTATTTTGGTGGAATATTCTAATAACATGAAAAGTAGGAATAAATATTTGTTTATCTTAATACCTCGAGTCTTCTGCTATTATTATATTTTAGATGTTATTTATAAAAATAGTTGATTTTAAACAGAGTACCTAAAAATTATTTCAATATTTTTAATTTGTTTTGTCCTTAAATGTTGATAGAAAATATTTTCACTCCATCAAAATACAGAAAATTAAATGCAAAGCTCCTCAAAATGTGTTAATAAAACTTCCTAACAATATTAATGATACATAGGCACACATTTTTTCTAAACATTTGAAGTTCAAATGTTGACAAAATATGTCAAAATCACAAAAATCGGCAAATTATTTTGTAGTTTAAAATGTATAAAATGCTCAATTATGTATCTAATGTCTAAGACTTGGACATTTAATACAAAGTTTCTCATAAGTAGTTTATTGTGTAACAAAAATTTAAAAGTATAAAAGCAGAATTTATTTTATGTACCTACAATAATTATAGGTGCACAAAATTATTCATTTAAACAAAGAATAGCAATTTTAGTTTTTCTGTTGTAATAAACTAAAATAAATAGTTGGCGGGTATTTGAAACTCTTGTCACATTATTTTATTTTTTAAACACAATTTAAATTTCAAAACATTTCGATAGGTAATTATACTGTGCTAATGTGCTATTGCCTATCTGTACCACCAACACATTATTCACACCGTTCTATGAAGCATATTGACTCAAAAGTTAATAAAAGTTGTTAATTATATGATCAATATATTATACTATTATAATAATAAAATATTAATAATGTAATAAATACAATGTTTTTGACAAAAATGAATTCAACCCACCAACTAATAGTAAAAATTCAGGGCTTGCAAACGTTATAATAACGTTATGATTATAACGTTATATTTGATAAAAAACGATTGAAATTTGTAAACGTAATTATAACGAAAAACGATAAACATAAATAAATAAATAACACAAAACAAAACGTAACGTTTAACAAAATATATTATGTATCATTAAACAAAACATAACTCAAAACGGTATATATTGTATTCCATTAAACGAAATAATTAATTCCCAATTATTTAATAATACTTAGTAGTATTAAATTATTTATTCAATCCAAGAATTAATTTTATTCCGTATCCGGCCTATCCAGGAGATCCCGTATTAGATATTATTTTAAAACTTAATACGAAGTTATTAATAGAATAATTTAATTACCAATACCTAATAATAGTGATGCTCTGATAATATTGTACTGTACTATCTGTACTACGGTCGAAATTTATACCACTCAAGTTATTCAACTATTGTGTTCGGTGTTCAGTTTTCTCAGATTTATTCACTCGTCAGTGTTTGTCTAATTGTTGTCAAATGTTTTTTATACGTTTTAGACCAATAAGCGGTAGTAAATTGCACATACTTCGGAATGTCCGATTTAAATTATTAATACATGTATGAACTCTTTGACAAAATATCTAGGCTTTTTAGGAAGTCGATTTTTGATTTTAAATTTTAAAAGCCCTTAAAATTTAGATATTTTTTTCAAAAATCTCATGAAATATTTGCATTATATTTGTATTTATTTTGAGCATATCTGATTTTAAACCAAAAAAGTGATTCCTGAAGAGCATAGTCTAGAAGATTATAAATTCAACAGTTTTTTTAAATTTCAATTAAACTTCAGGAAGTATGTTTAATTTACTACCGCTTTTAGCAGTTTTTATAGTTAAGCATACAAGAATATATTTCGTTTTTCGCTATGCATTGACATGTGCGTGCGCGTGTGAGAATAGCTAACGGCGGCTCGGCGAGCAGCGGCGGTTGCTCGGTGCGGGAGACATCGATTCTTGGAAACAATTAGTGGATAAGGATTACTGGATAGGTATAGCAAAATCACTAATGGATAATAATAATAATCAAATATTTCTATAATAATACAACACATATTATATTAGGAAATATAAAGTTATACCGCCTATATGGCTATATGAATCATTTGATTTCAACACTACACTCCGATCAGTAAAGTTGTCTGTAAAGTGTCCAGTGTTTCGTGTTTTTTATTCATTATTTTAAAAAATGGGTAAGGACTGGCGTTTTGGCAGAAAAACTAGGCGTAAGTTAAGTGCATCTAAATTAAAAAAACACAGATTGAACAATTTACAAACGATAAAAAAAAAAAGTTACAAAGATCATAGCTGCGTTGTTCAGGTAATTATATAAACACATATAGAATTTAGAGTAATATTACTATTTTAAATATTGAAGAATATTCAGTATTATTTTATTTTAATTGTGACAGGGAAATGCTTTGTTTATTTTAAATTGTATCTATCGTAATTCATACTATAGGCTGTCTACAGCATTTTTATTAATTTTATTGTATTTTTTAAAATTTAACTAGGTAATAGCTATTATGATAATATCATAAAAACGGATGCCCGTATGAATGTGTAGCATAAATATAGAAACACATTATAACGATAATAATCGTTTCTTTTGATTATTATCGTAGTTCCAGAAATTCGTATTTTGGATAATGGGCGGGTGGCAGTATGATAAAAACGATAACGGATTACACACACTAATATTAATTTACTACTCACACATAGACAAAGCCAAAATGTTCATGTCATACAAATCGCCTAAATATTACTCCTTAAAACATGATACGCTGGAGCCCCCTTAATATTTATATTTTATACTAATATACTAATAGTTTTAACGTGTATACGTTTTCTTTATATTAGTTTAACCCATTTAATTAAATAAATAAAATTAAACAATACCTTCTTAAAACTCAGAATAGGGAAATTATGTCCCCCAAAAAAGGTCATAGTCGTATACTTTTAAATTGCGGCCTGTGTACTTTTAAAACAGGTATCTAAATACTTTTAAATTTTAAATAACGATAAACGCAAAAATTGTATAACGTTTTAATTATGAATAACGATAAACGCAAAAATTATATAACGTTTTAATTCTGAATAACGATAAACACAAAAGTTGAATAACGTTTAAATTTTGAATAACGATAAACTCAAAATTTGTATAACGTTTTGATTGTAAATAACGTAAAACAAAATTTATTTTTCAAATGCAAGCCCTGAGTAAAATAAATTACTATAACAGCAATATAAAGATATCATCCACAATTCATGTATTACAATATAATATAATATTGTAAAGATATGTTTGAATAATCTTCTTTTTTAATCATATAGTAACCAAATGGGTTTAATAATTTTCTATTATAAATATTAAAATCTCTGCCGTCTGCCACTATTGGTAAATCTATCCAATGCAAGTGAGTAAATTGAAACTTGAGAATATATCAAATAATCTTACATTTTTTCATATAACTGTAAGGGGAGGGGTATTTAAAACAAAAAAATAATTAATACAGAGCGTATCGATGATTGATAGAATCCGTTACCGGGAATGATCCGACGTGAGGAAGTGTATTTGACAACAAACTTATAATCGTAAAAATAATATGATTGCTTGCGACCCGTTAGACCTCAAGCCAATACACACGACACACACAATTTAATACATAATACTACAATCCAACTAGAGCTTACTATTTCACTTGTATTTAAATACGCGGATGTAGGTGTATTTAATAACACTGATTTTCGGGTATAATGAAATACATGTGTATTTAATAAGATGGATATTTTCAAAATCATAATATATTCATACAAACTTGGAAAGTACTAGAAATAGTTTAAATTAACTTTATTACAAGAATATTAAATAATCTAATAAAGTCAATAAAATACAATATAAGCAACAATAATAACTTATATTTTTTTTATATTAAATATTACCTTTGGTTTGGTTGCTGTTTTAGATACGATATAATGGATATAATGTTTCATAATATAATAAACTTTACATAATTAACAATCTAACAACAAAATGTTTTCTAAATTATAATATAAGTGGGTATACATCAATTTTTAAACGTATGTAACGTAAATTAATAAATATTTGAATGTTTAATGTTTTGATATAAAAAAACTAAAGTGTTTACATTTTCTGTCAACAAACAGTTCCTTTTTGGTGTAACGATATTTCCAGCAGTTGAAAAACATCTTTCAGAACTGAAATAAACCTATTATTTCTAAGTATTTTTATTGCACGGTCGGCTATGATTGGATACTTTGTTGTGCATGTATTCCATCACTCGAAAGGATCTGTGTCAAATCTAAGCTGCGGTTCAGCTAGATAACTTTATAATTGCATTTTTGGATCATTTATGTCAATTATTTCATCACCGTAGAGAAACTCCATGGCACTTTTATGTAAAGTTTTTGGTTTTCAGTAGTTGGAACAAATGGATGTGAAGTTTCTGGTATATTTTGCAACTTTAAACGAATTTTATCTCTTGACTCAATTGCCTAGTGATCTAAACCGAGAAAAGATGATATTTGATTTACGCATACAATGTTGGATGAGGTGCATTCGACAGTAAAGCGGTCTTTAATTTCTGATATTAATGTTTGCTTAAAATGTATTTCAAGTTCATTATCAGTATCAAGTATTGAAGAATGTTTTGGAATCACTTTATTTAATAGTGGTCTGACCATTGACACCGGAGAATGTTTTTCATTGCAAAACAATGATGTTATTACTTAGAGTCGTTTTAGGTACTTGATGAGAAAATCTGTCATTGGCCGTTGGCTTACTGTAATCTCCAACTTTTGTGCTAACTTTTTATTCAATTGTGGTGATTCGATCAGAGTCAAAACATTAGATAATGAACATCGATTTCGATATAACCGATCTAACATCATAAAGGTTGGATTCCAACTAATTATTCCATACCTAGTTGTTCTTGCTTGATCTCTAAGGCGTGTTTTGCTATATTAGAATGTCTAAAATGCCTTACAAGATTACTATACTTTTTGACTAATAATTGTAAAAGTTGTGTTGTTGCAAAGTCTTGTTTTAGTGATTTATATATAGCAAGTCGAAGAGAATGAGCTGCACATGTGAGTATGTGACACTATACATATTTGTACCATTAGGTATTAATACAATTCCATGAATTATATTCCTAATACTTATTATCTGTTATAACAGCCATGATTTTTTGTCGATTTTCCATTTATTTAATGTGTTTTCCAGTTGAATTGATAAGTTTTCAGCTATATGCAGTTCTTCCATTTCATGCGTGGTAAGGGTATAAGAGATAACATTCCAATGTAAATCAATTATACGAGTAGTTACAGTAATAAACGAACCCTGAGGTGATGAAGACCAGCCGTCAGTTGTACTGACAATACTTTTAGACTGACTTAAATTGCCCTTTATTTTTGTTTCAACATTTTTTTCAAATTTTTTATTAGAACTTTTATTGCTTCTCACTTACAAATTTCGTAATTGGGTTCAACGACATCCATATATTTTGTAAATCTCATGTTTGAACAAAGAGAAATAGGTAATTTATTCATCGCTATTAATTTTGCTAATGATTCGTGAATCATGAATTAGTTCTGTTCGTTCACAACTGCACGTGGACTTATAATACTTAGATGTTTCAACATTTGATATATTACAACGTCTTTTACGTTTTCGACTTAGTAGCAAGGTCGTGTGTTCATCATTTAAGTTATTATCATTAACTAGACTTTTGACAGATATAATAATATATCTATTATCGATGTCATTAGTTTCTACTTGAGTTGGAGACTGATTATGTTGGACAACTAAAATCGCGATTGAAATAATAAATTTAATAAATTCTAATTTCTAGAAATACTTATAATTTATATTATTCTTGCGTTCCTAAATTTCGTAAACGCTTTTAAGTTCTACATAATATTTCAATGATTATTAAAATAATGTACCTACATAATTAGCAAACAATAATAGTACTTTGTTGATTCAGTGGAATAAGAATTTGTTGGCCACTAATTATGTATACATTTCAAGTGTCGACCCAATGATCCTGTACTTCCACCGACATATGCAAATTAACTTAGATCCATATTACAATAGCCTTTATCTCCGGCACGCTTCGTATTCTGCCATTCCCAACTTTTTGATTTTGACAAATTAAAATGACAATTTTATCGTAACTATTAAAAATTATAAAAATAGCTTATACCGATTTACAATTCGCAGCAAAATCTTAGAGAATAATAACTGTCAAGTGTTAAGTGGTGAATGTACAACTGATGGAAATTTGTTCATTGTTGAATTTTGCAGTATTATTATTTATTATTTAACTGTTAAATTAAACATTAGGTAAAACTTCCTTGAGGATAAGTGTACACCATCGTAGACTAAACAATGGGTTTTTTGGTAGGACAAAATTAACAGCATAAATAAAAGATTATTAAAAATGTTTTTTATATTATAAGTTAAATTTTGTGTTTTTTTAAATACCCTCAAAACTAAGAAAAAACCGTGTAATTATATTTATATATGAGTGTCCGTGTACTCGTTAAAAAAATACAGGGGTAAATACATGGTTTTAAATACACGGGTTCTAAATTTCAAATTCAAGTTAACGTAATCCGTGTATACGTGTACTTTTAATGCGTGGAACACGATTGCGGACGATCACTATATGTCTGTGTGACAAAAGATATTATTTTGTAACCAACAAATTACATGATTCCGGTCGAAATTTGGGAAACGTTGCCAAGTTGTGCATCGAAGTTTTCCTACAATGATTATAAATTTTATGATCGGCTTATCGTTTGGATATCTAGTATAGACTATAGCACGGTGTAAGATATATACGTAATTACGTAAAATAAATGTACACAATAATAATAAGAATAATAACACAAACACAAATTATGATAAGTGATGATAGATTTATATTATTTATAATAACGTTGGTGTCGAATTTCTATAGTCCACAATATTAAGATTATAAAAATAGGTTAAAAATCAAAGACTTAAGTGTTCTAATTAAGCGCTTACTGTACAAATTCATTAAAAGCACACAACAATAGTACAATTAAATATAGCGGACAAGTGAACAAGTGGTCAATTACGCTCTGTGTTCGCTTCTTGTTTCCTTTGGAAATAATTAACCGTTTTTTACGTTTTTAAGCTCGTTAAGTTTATAAAAAGTGCGCGAATGACTGGTGTCGTTGTTGAGTCAGTCTTCCTAATATTTCTTCACTTAATGTTAGTTTTTTAATTCTGTTATACTACGTGAACGTGATAAGGTAAAACCTAATAAATTCACTTTATCAGTTAATTACGGCTTATCGACTAACGATAAGTAGCGGCGTCCCGCATCTGAATTTTTCTTGATTAGAACACGGCACGTGTCAAGGCCAACACATATAGCTGCTTTTAGCGTCTGGTGTAATTTAATTGGCCTATCTACATTTTCAAAGGCGTCTTATTTTATTTTAATTAATTTTGAATATTTGCTTATTAGTTAAACTTTTAGTCGTTTAACGCAATGGCCCAAAGTAATGATCTACTTTCTACTGAGCTGAATAAGTGGACAAAAAGCATGCTCGTTGACTTCATTATTACTCAATCACTACCTACTGGGGTGAAATTGAGCGAGGAATTGTCAACATTCTTAAAAGGATCTTCTTCTAACCCTACATCGCTATCTTCTGAGAACTCATTAAATGTGGCCACTATTCTTCAATCTGTTGTCGATGAGCTCAAATCTGTAGCACTTAGTAACTCTAAGTTACATGATAAGCTAAACCGTCTCAATACGACTGCTAAGGTTACCACTTCTCCTAATTTAAACACTGGTTCAAACAATCTACCAACTACTTTACTCTCCAAGCTGAATGCGGATACTCATTCTAGACAGCCTGCAATCCAATCGACTACTAATTTATCCTCGTCCATAAAATCAAAATTTATTGTTGGCTCTCATAAAAGTGTATCCTCCAAGTTGTCTTCAGTGCCAGTGCGGAGGCATATTGATATCTTTGTCTCAAGACTTGAGCCGTGTGTAACGACCACTATGCTTGAATCTGAATTGTTCAATAGCTACTCAGATGTGACCATAAATAAATTAGTGACAAAACACCCATCATATTCTTCATTCCATGTGCGCCTGCCTGCGGAGAAGCTTGATGAAGTCCTCGAACCTACATTCTGGCCTGATGGCGTAATGGTCAAACGCTTTTGGGGTCGTCTTACGCCCGAGATGATTCTAAGCGACACTCCAAAAAACTAATTTCTTCATGTACGCCTATCTGTGATCCTCCTGTTGATATACACGCTTATAATTATAATAGTAAGGATTATTGTTTATGTAGTGATTTATGTACTTGTAACCATATTCTCTTAGGTTTTTATCAAAATTGTCGTGGGTTAAGAACCAAACTAAGTAGTTTAAAATGTAATGTCGCTGTTTTTGATTATGTTTTTATCTGTTTCACTGAAACATGGCTATGTGACAGCTTCTATGATAGTGAACTTGGTCTATCCAACTACATCATTTATAGATGTGATAGAAATAGTTTAACAAGTAATTTTTCCAGAGGTGGCGGCGCTCTCATTGCCATTCGTAGTGACATAGTATCTAATTTAATTTACACTCCAGCTACCAATGTTGAACATCTATTTGTTAAATTTAATTATAATAACATCAACTATGTAGTGTGCTCAGTGTACTTTCCTCCTAATTGCCCGCTTTCTGCTTATGAGTCTTTTATTTCCGCTGTACAATCTGTTCTTCCCCTTCATCCAGAATGTGTATTCATTTTTTGTGGTGACTTCAATTTGCCAGATATTATATGGTCCAATGATGATTTTGGTTTACTTTACAATACGGTTACTAATCCCAGAGTTCAATGTATCCCTGATGCATTTGCGTTCTTAAACTTTTTCCAACTAAATGATATTCAAAACTCTTTTGGTGTTGTCTTGGACCTTGTGTTCTCCAATGATAACAGAATCTATATCTCTAAAGCCGTAACTTCAGCAGTACCTTGTGATCTCTACCACCCGGCTCTTGATATTATGATAAAGTTGGATAAACTCTCCCCTTTACTTGATCGTTCCCATAATTATTATGACTTCCGCCGTGCTCCCTATTCAAAAATATGCGAATTCCTAAACTCATTTAATTGGTTTGAGACCATAATATCTCTCGACGTTGACGAAGCGGCTAAGGCAATTTATGACGCTTTGCACTTTTGCATTTTAAACTTTGTTCCGGAAGTGTCTTATATACCTTCGACATTCCCGAAATGGTTTTCAAAAAATCTTAAGCATATTGTTTTAAGCAAGAAGAGGGCACATGCCAAGTTTAAAGCTTCACGCTGTCCCCTTGATTATGCGGAATTTTCCGCACTTCGTGCCTCTTACAAGGCAGAATACAAGAGATGTCATACTGCCTACCTGTCTCGCACTGAGTCAATGCTAAAATCTAACCCCAGGTCGTTTTGGGACTTTGTCCGTGTTAATAAATCTAGCAACGAAATTCCCCACTCAGTACATTTTGAGAATTTACAAAGCTCGGGTACAGAATCTGTCTCTAACTTATTTTCCCATTACTTCAATACAGTCTATGTTCCTCCTTTGTCTAATGACCATTCGTCTCCTTTTTTGTTCCATGACCTACCTAGCACTTGTTCATTCGACATCGATGATGTTGACGCTGGTCTAGACGCACTAAAAAATGTTAAGTCCGTAGGCCCCGACGGCTTGTCAGGTATATTCTTATACAATGTGAAATCTTCATTATGTTTTCCACTGTGGCTACTTTTTAAGCGTTCAATCGATAGCGGAGTTTTTCCCTCTTCTTTCAAGATTAGCTCTGTCACTCCTATTTTTAAATCTGGTGATAAAGCTGATGTCAAAAATTATAGACCTGTCTCTATTTTGAGCCACATATCCAAACTGTTTGAACTTCTAGTATTGAGAAGTATTCAATCGCCAATTAACTCTATTCTAATCGACGAGCAACATGGGTTTAGACCTGGCCGCTCGACCACTACTAATTTACTCGTTTTTAACAATTTTGTTATGAAGGCTGTCGAGAAGCACATCCAAGTTGATGTTATTTTCACAGACTTTACTAAAGCCTTCGATAGAGTCGACCATGGCTGCCTAATCGAGACCCTATACAAAACTGGGTTCGGTGAACCATTGTTGTCTTGGTTCAAATCTTATTTGTCAGACAGAGTCCAGTGGGTAAAAGTGTTCGGATGCAAATCATCCGTCTCAAAGGTCTCTTCTGGAGTTCCTCAAGGAGGACATTTATCTCCAATACTGTTTTCTTTGTATGTAAATGGCATCAAGGAAATTGTCAAAAACTGTGAACTTCTCATGTTTGCCGACGACTTGAAGCTCTTTAGGAAAATTGATAACTTATCTGACTGTTCTACGCTCCAGAATGATCTCAACAACCTGGTCTCCTGGTTTAATAATATTGGTCTTCAGTTTAATGTAAACAAATGTCATTCCATGTCATTTTTAAGACACCGCTCCCCTATCAACTATGCTTACTCCATCAATGGTTCTAGTGTAACATCGGTTTGCAGTAAGAAAGACCTAGGTATTATCTTTAATTCCGATCTCAATTTTCACTCCCACACTGAAATGATATGCTGCAAAGCCTTAAAAACGCTTGGGTTTGTAATGCGCATATCAAAGGAGTTCAATCTATCTTCTTCATTAAAAACTATATACTGCTCATTGGTCCGTTCACTTTTAGAGTATGCATCGGTCCTATGGGACCCTTATACGGTATCTGACTCATGTCAATTAGAACGTGTTCAGAGACGGTTCTTATCTTGCGCAGCTTTTCTCTTAAAAATAAATCATCCTCCCCACGACTATTTCTTAGTTATGCAGGAACTCAGCCTCATTTCACTGGCCGACAGGCGAGTTAACGCTAACATAGAGTTTCTGAATAAACTAGTTGATGGTCGTATAGATGCTCCCTCACTTCTCTCGATAGTCAATTTCAAAGTTCCTTCCCGTACTACTAGATACCATGCTCCTTTCGTTGTTCCTGCGCACACTACCAATTATGGCAGAAACAATCCGTTAGACCGCATGATGCGGCTGGCCAATGAGAGCACCGTTCATCAAAACTGATACATTTATTATTATATATTTTTATATTTGTTATATTATCATTATTATACTTATTATTCTGTAATTATTATCTTATATAAATTTAATTATGTCATTGTATTAATTATTTTAAATTATGTATTATTGTATTATGTTAAACTGTTGAATAGGGCCCAGCCCGTTAACAAATAAATAAACAAATAAACAAATAAATAAGTAAAAAAAAAAAAAAAATTAAAAATCAAAAGACAAGCGTTCATTGCTCAATATAAACATATGAATTTATTTATTTTTTTCTCTCGGTAATGACAGCAAATTGTTTCTAGGCATTACGTTGTTTTGGTGATTTGTAAAATCATTATAGCTTTGAATAGTTAATTTAATTCTATCTAAATCCTTTTTTTTTCACCAATTTTTCTGGACCTTTGTTTTATTGAAAAAATTATCGTCAGAAATTACTTATAACATACTACAATTAACACACTCAGAATTCCCACATTCCTAGATTATCGAAGTATTATTTATACATTTGGCAACATGTGACCGCAATCGTGTCATTTTTGGGGGTCCATTTGTTGAACTATAAAGTTCGCAATCGTGTTATTTTAAAATGGTCTCCCTGATAAGTAACGTCCACAATCGTGTATCACGATCACCGCTTTTTATACCTAGGAATTCGTTAGCCCTAAATCCAACAAGGATCTGAGGCCGACAGTTGTCCTGATAAGTACTATCGTAAAAAACCGAAATACGGCAACGCACCGAGGTAGATCGCGACCGGCCGAGCGTACCACCACGCGTCGATACCCGGACGGCAGGCGGTAAAACCCAACATTTTGTAAATTTGTGAGCTGCTTGGTCGTCGGCGTCTCTCCGACGTCCGTTTGCTGATCACGTACGACAACGAAGCTCCGTGACGACGACAGACTTCGTGTAGCGTCCTGGCTTCCCCCGCGATCTCGGCTGGGGGGGCGTTACGAATCAGGCAATTGCGCCCGAGGGAGCCGGGCCGCTCTCTCTGCGGCATTCGTCAACACGAGTCACTTCACGTCAGGCGCGCGCCAGTCTGCACACCTCGTGCCCACGCACTTACCGCGGTCGGTCGTACGTCGAGACCCTAGCGGTCGCGGTCGCTATAAAAAACCGAGATACCCGGTTGATCCTGCCAGTGGTCATATTATGCTTGTCTTAAAGATTAAGCCATGCATGTCTCAGTGCAATCCGTATTAAGGTGAAACCGTGAAAGGCTCATTAAATCAGTTGTGGTTCTTTAGATCGTACTCAAGTTACTTGGATAACTGTGGTAATACTAGAGCTTATACATGTCGACAGAGTTCCGACCGCCGCAGCGCCCTCGGGCATTGGGCGCGAGAGGAACGCTTTTATTAGATCAAAACCGGCCCGTCACGGAGCGCTTCGTGCGCGTCTCGATCGCGGCCCACGCAAAGACCTGGTGACTCTGAATGACTTCGAGCTGATCGCACGGTCTCTGTGCCTCTGTCTGCCTTATCAACCGTCGACGGTAGGTTCCTTGCCTACCGTGGTGGTAACGGGGAATCAGGGTTCGATTCCAGAGAGGGAGCCAGAGAAACGGCTACCACATCCAAGGAAGGCAGCAGACGCGCAAATTATCCACTCCCGGAACGGGGAGGTAATGACGAAAAATAACGATACTGGACTCATCCAACGCGTTGCGCGGCCGTCGGGGTTCGATGACGGTGGTCGCCTACTCCAATCTCGCTGAGCTGTGCTCTTCACCGAGTGCCGTCGGCGGGCCAACGCGTTTACATTGAACAAATTAGAGTACTTAAAGCAGGCTCAAAGCACGGACCTTAGGGTCCACGATGGGCCGGAATCGTCACCGCGCGGGCTTAAGGGCGCGCTGGCGGCGCATCAACAATGAACGCGGTGATCCCGCGGCAAACGATGTGGGGTCTTGGAATCGTCTGCAGACGACTTAAGTACCGGGCGGGGTGTTGTACTCGGCAGAGCAGTTACTACGTTGCCGGTGCATCCGAATTGCATGCCGTCTCTTGGAGGGGTTTGTCCGAATTGCATGCCATCTCTTAGAGGGGTATATCCGAATAAATAACTTACTTTTCAACTGGAGGATCGGGATTTTGTTACATTACAATAAAACATATAAATATTGTAGGAGGTGACACTGTGAATAAGAATCGTAAAATAAAACTTGTTTTTTTTCATCGACAACAAAATATTTATGCGGATAAAACCGGACAAACGGGACAAACCCCTACAGAAAACGGCATGCAATTCAGACATTTTTTTTTTTGGCATGCAATTCGAATGCAGCCTATAGGCTGCGATCTGTTAAGATTACCCCTTGCCTCGGGGATTCGTCTTGTCAGTTGGACAGGACCCCCAGTGACACCGATGCGTGCACGGCTCGGCCCACCGGTCGAGTTTGAAGCGTCGGGAGCGCACACTGACCGTGCGTCGCGATGGGCGTTTGTCGAGCGGACCGCCGGTCTGTCGACCACGCTGGTGATCGTCTTTCGGGAGTTGGTCGTTCAGACGACCGACGCATTGGAGGCGGTCACCGGCGCGGTCGATCGGCCGGTGGTTCCGTGACGCCTTTTTTTTCAATTCCGATTCGCCACTATACGCGGCGACATGGTTATTTTCAATTTTCTTTGAATAATTGATTTTTTTCAAATTAATATTATTTACATAAAACGTACTTTTTTTCATTCATACACTTAAAATCAGGTGTGTATAACTATACATTTGTAATCAAAAATACATAATATGTAGGTACCTGGTACATGTACCTATTTATTTAATTAATCACTGTTTTTTAATGTTCCAGATTCGGCATTTTGGATATAACGATCTGATTCTCTAGATTTCTTGGAGATTGTCATAAGCGAATTCTACTGTGCTACAATTATTAGTCTAATAAAAAATATGATATTTTTTCAAGAAATTATTTAAAGGAAAATTGAATTAATCTATGACGATGATTTATATCATAGATGCCATAGTATGAATATTGTTTATAACCAATGAATAAGTATATCTGTGGTATTGAAGGTTCATTTAATATTAAATGTATTGGAATTATTTATAAAAATACATAATATACAAGCTATTACAGACAAAAATATTTGTACCAGTAAGAAGGATTAATTTTATAAAAATTATGAGTGATATCATAACTTAGCAGAGCATTCTTTTTTATTAGCATGTCTTATATTCAAAAATAAACATGGTGCACTAATTACTTTAATTTCTAATCAATTTTACATTATCCTGATGGCCCCTTATATTTTGATATTTTGTTTCATGGTAGAATCGTACAGGATAACCATGACCTATGCATTACAAAACCTAATTTTAACTTCGGTAATGACTGTTAATATATTCATGTCTGAATTTAAGTTAACATTTCCTGAAAATTTTGGGAAAGTTACTTACATCAACAACATGACAGTTTGGTTAGAAAATGGCTAAAATATGAATTTATATGAAAAAAATTACTGTAGGTACCTATTACTGTAATCATGTAAGAATTACTTACCTGTATTGGAACTACAAAACTACACCTATATTTTAATACTGATGAATAATATTGTTATTATGTTGATACATTATAATTTTGAGATTTTATGAAGAATGTTGATTGAGAAAAATTGTTGACTCTCAAAATAGCAAACGCAAGCTAAAAACCGATATTATTGACCCCTCTCCACACATATCAAACAAATGATAAAAAAAATAATTAATGGGTAATCATCAATCAACCCATGGAAAACCCCCTCACCAACATCCAGGCACGAAGAAGTAGTTATCACAAGGTCTCGGATTGGACATAACCGTCTAACACACTTGCACCTTATAACTAAAGAAGACTGCCCGACCTGTGAACTCTGTGATAAAGAACTGACAATCAAACACATCACACTAGAATGCCCCAAGTTCAACATCTCTAGACAAATCCTCGGAAATCCATCATCGATGAAACAAGCACTTGGAGAAGAGAGCTACAAAAATATACACAATTTCTGCACAAACATAGGCTTAGCAAAATTAATGTAATATAAAAAAAAAAATATTGTACATAATATACTTTACACTCCCCTTGTTATGCTTAACATAATGTCTCCCCATAAGATTAATACTTTATAATTTATCATAGGAAAATGACCTGAGATGTTGAAGCCTTTAAACCTAAAAAAAAAAAAAAAATATTTGCTTTATAAATAATAAAAATAAATACAATCATTTCTAAAATATATTTTTTTTAAATATCATTAATTATAAGTACCAATTAAAATAAAACATGAATCTACACTCTACTTCTTAGTCATCAGTTGTTACGAATTATGATAGATAAAGTCATAATTTTGAAACTATTATTAGCTGTATATCCAAATCCAGTAGTAAGTACCAATAGTATTTTAAATAATTCGAGGTTTTAATAGAAAACGTATTTGAAAACGATAAAAATAAAATATACGCATGCCTTGACCTAAGCACTTACAAGTAAACATACAGATACATCATACATTACCGCCTACAGAAAAACGTTTGGTACGGTCGGTATTATATTTCAACAAGTATTTGCAATAAATACAAATAAAGCTACCTATGTTATAAAACAGTTTATACGATCTATATATTTGTACATATTATTATACTTAGGTAAGCAGTGACTTAAATGATAATCGTTAGCTTGCAGGTACCTACGCGATTTAAAATATTACGTCGTCATTTAAGTTCATGAATTTTATAATAATGTAAAACGTCTAAGGTTAACTTTCATACAATAAAAAACGACTCCCTTAAACAAAACTCGTTGGCAGGCCTCCGACAAAGATAAGTCGATTGCCGATTGCCTGCTGATCGCTAAAACACTTAAGGCCCCTGCAAACTCTATTCATTTTTCATCAAATCGACCTTAGCGACTGACAAAAATTTAAGTACTTCTAGTTTTTAGATTTAAAAAATGTAAAGATGTTTTAATTGGTCAACAAGTCTACTTTGCATCGGTTGGACAA